CAGTCATAAAGTCCCTCATAAACTTAAAATTCTTATCTTCTACAATAAAACATACCAATGTATGTAATAAGTAGGGACCTATGTATATGTAATACGTACTACGTAGGTTATGTCATAACCCTTTAACACCAAGAGAAAATTACTCTACGTGTGATGTTGTTGGTACACCACGTGGTAAACGAGTATTTATAAATAGGTACTTGAAAAAAAATAGATAAAAAATAGGAAAAATAGAATAATGTACTGTTAATCGAACTATCTATTTTTTTTATGGTGGCAAAAGTACACGGCGCGCCTGAAGGTAAACGGTTACCGTGGCCTATGGGACATTACATGCGCCTTGTCGACCCTTAAGAAACCTATTCACTTCCCCTTGAAGAACCCCATGTAGCCCACTAGGAAAACCACGGTAGGGAGTTCATTCCACAATCGCTGGGTCCGTGGGAGGAAATTCCTATGAAACAGAACTGTACGGAACCATTTGGGCTCCAATGTGTGAGCGTGAACTCCTGATTTTATTACTACATTCCACTTAGTCCATCCATGTGTCAACGATGAAGTCTTCATATCCATTCTTTATATTCCTTCCTCTGGCTCCTGCTAGATTTGTCTATACATATCAACATACAACCTACCTTTTCTAAACTTATTCTTCAAGACCTACACCTGTTACATAGTAACAGAAAACATATGCCAAGACACGCTATCGATATTCTATAACATTGAATAAAATAAAACATGTTTCACAAACATATCTCAGAAGATATGACGATATGTCCCTAAAACATCAATTGGTAGAGGCTACGGCTTGGGTACATCGAAACTTTTTTACTTATTCCCTAGGGCCTAGGGTCGTCGTAACATAACCTATTTGAGACGTCCAAAGACGGCCAAGGGACCAAAATGTGAAACTTTATTCTTTTGATCTTCAATATTTGAACTCGAAGACTTAATAATTTTGGAGTTATGTCAAAGAAAAATGTAGTCTCTGTTGTAATGAACAATATCATGATTCAAGAGACTTCGATGGTATTTTTGGAAGAATCTGCAGAACGCTGCACTTAATCCTTAAACGAATGATCTATATAAAAAAAGTATTATTAGTTCTTAGTTAGACTGCCTCGTTGGCCGTGTGGTCGCAAGTGCGACTGCTGGGCAAGGGGTCCCGGGTTCGATTCCGTGGTCGGGCAAAGTATTACTGGGTTTTTAAAAATCATTAGTAGCACGGAGTCTGGAAATGTGCCCGGTATATGGCAATAGGTGACCTTATTACATGGGACTCATAACATAAATAAATGTGCACTTGCCTACCCCTTCGGGGATAAAATGCGTGATGTTATGTTACGTTATTATTAGTTCTCAAACTGAAAATCATCCAAAATCATTTTAACAGATGCAACCACATCATATTTACCCTTCCTAAAAAAAACAAGTGTTATTAATATTGAAATGTTTACTTCACTACATGCATAACGTACTCTACCTACTAGGAAACATGACACACACATGCATACATACTTACCTTACCTTATACATAGGTTTAATTTCATACCTAAACACCGACGTAAGCACAATAAACAAACACCAGTTACTTCAACTTACAAATCAATGCGCAAACATCTCATCTTTACTCAAAACATTTGTCTCAAGTTAATTACTTACTGATCTTCCATGTAGGTACATAGTAAGCAATGATGAATCAGTGCTGACTCAGTCACTCAGTGACATTCTCTCGCCACAGGTAGCGGTCAGTGAATCATCAAGTCATTTCGTCACGGTTCTACGCTAAATCTTTGTTATATAATGATTTTAAATGATTTTGTCGTCATTTTGTGGTATTGGATTGTTTGTATAAGATTAAAACTTAGTCGAGATTTGCCGATTCCGATCTTGAATTGGCCATATTTAACTTTATTAACCTAGCTAGAGGTAGTTATTATCATGTGTATCTTTACTATTCACGGGACTACAGGGTCCCGGTCATTTGGGAGGCGTACGAGGGGCCGAAGCCAACTGCGCAGACGCCCTTTAGACAACTTTAATATAAATATAATGGACATACACACCGACGACTATCCCTGTATGCACTATGGAAATTGCACCCAAGGGCAGTCCAAGTTTGTGTATAACTATTGTATATAATTGAAAACAAAGGTAGGGTTATGGATGGGTTACTGTGGACTGGTAAATTGGGAACTATGGATGACTGCCGAAATAATGTAATTACTACACGTAAAAATTGCAAGCGGAAACTCGCCAACTCAACGATCGTGCCCTGGGAGTGAGAATTATTATCATAATTATTGTTAACGACCGAAACCGGTCCGGTTCGATTGAGATCAGTTTTTGACATTGTTCGTTTGATTTGCTGTCAAATCCTAAAGAAGGTCAACCAGAGATGTTTGATTAAAATTGGTTATTAATTTCGGACCATAACATTGACTTATAGCACAAATCCATCAAAAACAGCCACAAATCTGACTAGAACTCCGAAGCCAAATAACTCAAAGCGATGACAAGTTGACGAGTACTTAGAATCAGCCTAAAGTTAATTGTACCTGTCGTTTACTATCCAAACTGGTACTAATTAATCCAAATACCAGTGCCAATTAACCTGGAGGCAGCTTAATTGTCACGAACAGGATTCCTAAAGGACCTAGGATAGTTCCCGGTTCCACTTTGTATTTATAAACAATAGTTTGTAGAACAATACTGAGGTATATTGTTGTGGACCTTGCATAACCATTCAGGTTGGCCAGTGAAGTGAATAAGCTGGATGATATGAACAACGGGACGGACAAAGCGAGTGTTAGTAGTTAGCTTAGTTGGTTTAGTATCCTTATTTGTGAAATAAGTGCTATGTAGAAGGTATGTTTTGGTTGGTATATTGTCTTTATAAATTACCGCTTATTATTTACCTATACCAAGTATGAAAATAATTAGCATGGCTTGGAACTAATCGAGTTCCTCGTCAGATAATAACGTAGTATAAGTAAGCCGAAAAACATACGTAATAAGTAAGCCGAAAAAGTCTCATTGGCAGTGGCACGGGCAGTGGATCACTCGATTCCCTATAACATGGTCGAGGTGGGCGGTGCTGGTGTACGTGTCATGTTCGTGAACGGGCGCTGTCAAATGGGACTGGTCAGCTCCAGACTGTATTAAATTTGTTGTCCTCAAGGTTATTTTCTTTTTCCGTCTCCTTGACCAAATATTGGTATTACATTGTTCTCACATTATTGAACTCAACGGAAGAACGTAACCAAAAATTGTATTGTGAACATGATTGAAAAAGAGTAACCTATGGAGTTTCTTGCTCGTTCTTCTCCATAGGAATCTACACTTTGGAACGAGCAAATAGAGCAACTAGAGGACTGACTTACAGACTGACACATTTTTTTTCTTATTATTTAGTATTTAAATATTTTGTTTTGACGTTCAAAAGTGCCTTACTGGTCTAATTGAAATAAATGATTTTGACTTTTTTGACTTTGACATAATAACTTAATTTAGTATGTCTCACGAAAGTTACATTTTAAAAGAAAAAAATAAACGTTGGCCCACACTAGGATTTTGTGTTGTGTCGTGGGTGCGTTTACAAACATAAAAGTTCAAATACATAGGACACTTAGACCCGGAACAACAATTTGAGGATCACACAAAGAGTTGTTCCGTGCGGGAATCGAACCCGCGGGCCGTTGCGCTGCAGCCGGTTACCCAGCCACCGCACCAATCATGCAGTCAAATAATAATATAAGTAGCTTTTAACGTAATAATTGAACTGCATTTTGAATCACCGAATAGAGTTGCAGAGTCTATGCAACTGGTAGATACAGAAGATTAACATAAAAATGTGATACTGAGGACCAAGTTTTCAATGATCAGTTAATTTATAGAATAAAATTGCCAATTGACAGTTTTTAGTATGGAAGAATTGTCAAATATTCAAAATTATTCCTCAGTTAAAATTCATTTGGCGTTGGAAAAAACGGCTTGAAGTAGTTCCTCGTTTCTGACTCAATCCATGTTTCTTGGACACCATTAGTATTATTCTGTGGTTTTCTTAAGTAAGTTGATGTTATGACGAACCACTTTCGAACACTATAAGGTCATGATGACTCATGCCTCAAGCTTTACGGATACGAATTTATGCTGTACTTACAACTACACATCAAGCCAAACGAAACCAGTTTATCATGGTCTAGCTTTGTATCACCTTTCTATGCATTCGACAGTCAGCTTATGGTTGGTCTTACATATACCGAGTGGAACCTCTCGCTCATTTATTATGTACCTTTGCTTACTCATGCAAGACACCTATTGTGATAGTGTTTCCGACTTGCATAGAGCATTTTACGACTATTTAGAAGAAAGAAAATGTATTTATTTGGCCATTGGCACACGAAAACAAGGATCGTTAAAATAGAAATAAAAAATACACTCAAATTATAAACAAAATAAAAACAAAACATTAATAATAGATTTAAAAGAGAAAAGAAATTAACAAAAATCATTAAAGCATAACAAAATATAATTGATCTTATGATATATTTGATCATATGACTGCCTCGTTGGCCAAGTGGTCGCAAGTGCGACTGGTCTTGGGTTCGATTCCCTGGTCGGGCAAAACATTACTGGGTTTTAAAAAAAAAACTCAGTAATAGCACGGTCTCCGGAATTGTGCCCGATATATGACAATAGGCTCACCTTCTATTACATAGGGCTCATAACATAAATAGTGAAAAGTGTATAGTTGCTTTGTAGTGGCATTAAGTGCCGTAATGTGCACCTCTGCCTACCTCTTCGGGGATATAAAGGCGTGATGTTATGTTATGTTGATCTTTTGAGAATGCTCTCTACGAGTAGTGATGTCATAGAGTATACTACAAATAAGTTAACATTGTGGTTCTAAAGACAAAGTCCAATACAATAATTTATAAGATCTAAGGCAAATAACGCATTAAAACTTCATATTTATTTATATACAATGTCTATTCCAGGTGTATTCTTGAACAATGGAAATATAGTAAGTATTATAATTACAAATAACAGTACTTATAATAAACGCAAGTCACAAAGATTTCCACCACGAAGGACTCAAAAATTTACATTTTTAGACCCTTCCTGTTCCAGCAAATCTGTCAAGAATTATAATTTTAAGAACTCGTGTATTTTATTTACCACGAAACAACAAGCTTGGCTTTTTAAACAAAGAAAGGGAAACAATTATTCGAAGTAAAAAGTTATTTTAAAGGGTAAAATTTTTAAGAAGAACCTTATTCCTGAACACTGTGGAACCTTGAAATTAATTAACGCCATTAAGCAAGTCAAATAACTAGCAGAATCAGATTCATGTCCCGGTTCCATATCCCAACATGTAAATGTAGGTATTACAGTGATACCTAATCATTACCGAAAACCAATACTAAACAAAACCAACCCTTTCTCCTTTATTGAAGTTTATTGCAAAATAAAAGGATCTAAGTGTACCTTAACAGAATCATACAACACCTGAATTACTTTAGCATCAAATACACGTTACAGCGACCTGTCACCAACTTACAGTTGATCGAAATCCCAGGAAGAGATCATTATGATCCAACAGCTACACTCCCAGGGGTAATCCGGGGTCGGGATGACATGAAGCGTGCCCATAACAATTCCCTTCCTACACTCGTAAATCAAAAATTATTTTATTGCCTGATTCATAACAGAGGGGGCAGTATCTCTAATTCAGTGTAGGTGGCGCAGGCCGGACAACGACCGACAAATTGGTACCATTGCATTGCATAGCAATCATTATCACGAACACCTATATTCATTATAATATTGTTGATACGATTCCACAGATAATTTTGCAAACACAGCTGCGTCTGATTGTGTGATACGTTCAATGCAGTTACTATTTAGTCACCTACTTACAGTATGGCAATGAAATCAACACGTTTCTTTTAAATTTCTTTAAAAATCGATAGCCAAATTCACATGTGCAGGAATAGGGTAGATGCCAAATTTTTATTTTAATGTCCTTTTGGTAGATTATTTTAAATCATTAGACACGTATTTTTTATTTTCTTACAGAAACGAATACTTTCGACGATATATTGATTTGAAATGTCGCGTGACGTCACTTCTATGTACATACATTTTATACATAAAAATGACGTTTTAGCCCCCGCTCCTAAACGTTGATTCGTTTTATCTAAGTATTGTTTTATTATACGAGAAAATAAAAAATACGTGTCTAATATTTTTTCATTGCCTACCTTACCGACTAATTAGTTTTTTAATTGTCATATTTTGTCATCATCCCAATTATAATCAGTCTTTTAAAATGTGTCCAACTAATGTTCGATTTGTTTTTGTATGTGACATTTTCACATCAACACTACTGTATTCATTATGATAAATTTATATTCCAGGGTAGATAGTAGAATCGAGACACTTATAAAAGTTGAGGATAAAAGTAAAACAATTAGAAAGTTCACAAATACATAAAGTTTATTATGACTATATGTCGGTGACACCGCAAGATTAAAGTATTATATGTATATAAAAATAGAGTAAGTATATAACACTGTCTGGTGAACGGATTAGCGATCGCAGACTTTAATAATTGAGGTATTAAGTAGGTATTGTTCTACAGTTTTCTTTGTTCTTTACTCAAACTAAAATATAATAAGAAATAGAAATAATATCTTAACTAAGTAACAATATACACATCCATTTTACATCTCGTTTTTTTTATTTTAAAGAACACTTCTCTTGGCATTAACAAATGGCTATTACTTTATCATAGAATCTATAACATTTTAAAATATAAAAGAAGAACTGAAGGACTGCGAGTACACGTGAAAATCTTGTCTTAAACGAGTACCATTGTAATTAAAAAAAACTGAAAATACATAGGTATTCTAGATAAGTTTAAACACAATAATATTTACCAATCTCATCTTGATTTTTTAAACGATAATCAACTGTTTGTGAAGGACACATTTACCTACTATAAACTAGCGACCCGCCCAATGTGCAATATATATGTATTATACATATAAACCTTCCTTGAGAATCGCTCTATCTATTAAAAAAAAACCGAATCAAATTCCGTTTCCTGGTTTTAAAGATCTAAGCATACATAGGGACAGACAGACGGCGGATAGCGACTTTATTTTATACTATGTAGTGAAAATGCACTTACAGACAAACAGCAAAAATTTCACTAATTAACAAATAGAGTACCAGTTACAGATAATCGTTTATTTTCTAAAGGAACTGACTGCGTAGGCGCATCCTTCACTTCACAAACGTTCATTAACCACTTATGTCGTGGTAAATTGGTTAATTGTCGGTGCAGTAGTATCTTGTGGGATATGAAGCGATGACATAATACTGCAGTTATTATAAGTGATGTTGAATTCGATACGGGTTCATAGTTGTTCCTGTTTGTAATTGGTTAGGTAAATGAAGAAACCACAAATTGTACTATTACATCTTTGATTAAAGTTGGTCAAAAGTTGCAGTAACTGCAATAACTTAGAAATCTAGTCTCTTTATGAAATACCTAGTTAAAGACGACCACATTGACAAACAACTCTCTCTACTAAACAATATTTACTACACTTAGGTACTAAGTTTTTCCTAACATGAGAAGCGCAATAATTACTTTCAATACACACAATATAATAATAACACACGATATAATTTTATATTCACCCTCAACTCGAACTTACTTCCCCTAAAAATAAACTAAAGCAATTATTTAATTACCTCTTGAAATCACTACATAGTATAAAACAAAGTCGCTATCTGCCGTCTGTCTGTCCCTATGTATGTTTAGTTCTTAAAAACTAAGCAACGTATTTTAATGCGGTTTTTTTTAATAGACAATGATTCTTAAGGAAGGTTTATACCTCTATGTATAATACATGGATATTGCACCCGTGCGAAGCTGGGGCGGGTCGCTAGTAGGAAATAAATGTCACACCATTAGCCAAATATTACTTAATTTTTACCCTCATTATTGTATGTGAACAAAAACATTTCACTGTAGTCTCATACACACACACACACAGTCATATTAAACAAAACACTACGGACGGATTTCATTAAGGCAATTTGAACTTCTAAGTAACGCCTACATATCATTAGCAGATGAACGGGACAATGATCTTTCCTTATACGGAAGATGTAAATTAAACTTTGTACTATGAATGTGTATATCTGATGCTTTCTCTGATTATAATTGAATAGGTGATTTCCATATTAATGCCATTGATTTGTTTCATTATAATTTCTATGGCCTACTCTCTGTAAATATAGGTTTCTTGGTTTTTGTTAGAAGTAAATTAAGCTAATAGATCCAACTCGATCGACTAGTATTAATAAATCTTCTATGCATTTACGTATTAATATATAAGGGTAAATAGACGAAGTAGATGATAG